TCTCTGATTATCTAATTATTATATATCAAAGGTTGAGAACCAAGAGGGAGTGATCAACTTCGACGAAATCCTCCGCGAAACGGACTCGTTCATGGTCGCGCGTGGTGATTTAGGAATGGAAATCCAGTCGAAAAATATTCCTCGCCCAGAAAATGATGATATACAAATGCAATATCGCGGGGAAGCCAGTCGTGACCGCCACACAGATGCTCGAGTCCATGATCAAATCCCCCAGGCCCACACGCGCCGAAGCTACCGACGTAGCCAACGCAGTCCTCGACGGTGCCGACTGTGTCATGCTCTCCGGCGAAAGTGCCGCCGGAGCCTACCCAGAACTGGCGGTTCAAATCATGGCCCGAATCTGCATCGAGGCTGAGTCATCGCTCGATTACGGCGCCATCTTTAAAGCCATGATAAAGTGGACCCCACTTCCCATGAGCCCATTGGAGTCCTTGGCTTCTTCGGCCGTGAGGACCGCCAACAAGGCGAGGGCGAAGCTGATTGTGGTGATGACACGTGGTGGGTCGACTGCGAAGCTGGTGGCGAAGTACAGGCCTGCTGTGCCGATCTTATCGGTGGTGGTCCCGGTTCTGACGACGGACTCATTTGATTGGTCGATTAGCGACGAGGCTCCAGCGAGGCAGAGCTTGATTTATAGAGGGTTGATTCCAGTTCTTGCTGAAGGGTCTGCGAAGGCGACTGATGCGGAGTCGACTGAGGTCATCTTGGAAGGTGCGCTGAAGTGCGCGACAGAAAGGGGGCTTTGCGAGAGTGGTGATGCTGTTGTGGTGCTTCATCGTATCGGGTCTTCGTCTGTTATCAAGATTTGCCTTGTTAAGTGAAAGAGGGGATTATTATCGCATCTTCATTTCTAGTCATTACTTGTGGTTTTTCCTTTATTTATTCATTTTGGTAATGTTCTATTTTCCAAGAGATATTGATCAGTTGCTTGGAGAGCTGCAACTTGATTAACTAATCAGTCCTACTACTTAAATAATGCATGCAGCTTTTTGTTATGTTGCATACTATTGTACTTCTATTTCAAAATAGACTCGGTTAAGGTCTATTTCAAAATAGCCTTTTGTTATGTTGCATACTATTATAGTATATATTAGTTTGCACAAAATATATAATCTAGATAATATATAATTTGCACAAATAATATTAGGGAATTTCAACTCCAACGAGGGTTGGTTTCTTGTGAGCACCAGGTCCGGGTCTGCTATCTTAATGGACCGTTGAGTTACCATGATTTACATTCATCCATCAATCTTTGTCGGGTCAAGGGATAGGGGCCCTGGGGGCGAGTGATTTCGCATTTGATGCACAAATAATATTAGGGCGTATTATAAATAAAAGGAATTCATATAAAAAACTATTTAAAAAAAATTGAGATAATGTCCCTAAATGTGTAAAAGATTAAAATACTCCTCACATTTTAATATACTTTAATTTTATCTTTTAGTTCAATTTAACCACAATTTGACCAACAATTTCACCAATTACTCAATTTTGATCAATAATTCAATTTTGACTAAAATTTTGTCCGTCGCCATTGCTGTCGGACTCTGGCGTTAATTTTTTTTCTTTTTCTATCTTCTTTTTTCCGTCGTCAGACTTATTTTGATTTTTTTTTTCTGCGATCAACCCGATCTTCGACGGCGTTGACTATATTTTTTCTTTAACATTTCTTGGCCTGTTTAAACAAGGGATTTGCTTTTTACCGTTTGAAAATTGCTATTTACCGTTCAAAAAAACTCTCTCTCTCTAAAAAAAATTGCTCTCAAGACGATTTCTTCACAAATCATTCTTATTGGTGTGATATACGAACATAAATGAGTTCATCGGATGAAGATCGGGATAGCGAACACAGCGAGGTAAAAATTCCGTCTTTTCGATCGAAAAAAATGGGCTAAACATTCAAAAGCCCAACTCGGGCGCCCGACAGTGCAGTGC